CAATATCCACCACAAAATATTCTAATAGTCTCTAACAAACATGATTTCGTATAAGAATGATGTCCTTAGCAAGGGAGAGAAGTTTTTGGTATATACCAATGGAGCCACTGTCTTCCCCATTAATAAAAGGATTCCAGGAATTGCAATATGTACTGAGGAATCACACATCCAAAAGAGACTTTTTATAATGGAGGACCAATATTCTCTCTCTCTCTCTCTCTCTCTCTCTATATATATATATATATATATATATATATATATTTCCAGCTACTTGAAATCTCTTCTTCAGTGAGCTCTGGTTAAATACATTTGCTATAATTAACTTCCTGTGGCATCATTTGACACTTCCTGCAGCTTAGAAAACAATAACTTTCACAGTAAAAATGATTTAGTGGCAGCATAATGTGCCCTGCTAGAAATGTTTTGAGCTGAAGATTCCCAATATACAATTATGATTAGCTTGACTTGGAAAATACTGTGTGATAAAAACTATCTGAACAATTGCCACCTTAGTTTATCTGGTATCAAAGAATGTACTTAACATAAATTGAAGTTCTTCATTCACGCCTAAAATTCTGAACTCAGAGTCTTATGGAAGTTTTTAATTAAAAATTGTTTGTTAAATAAATGACTATGAATATATATATTATAATGGGCTAGACATGTGCTAAGTTTTTGTATGGTATACGTTGGCTCTAACCTACTATAATTATTACATTGATCGGCCTTTATAAACTCAAGAGGCAAAATACAAAACAACAAAGTTTGATTATCTTACACTGACTCATTTTCATTCTACTGAGTTTGAACTTACATGCCTCACTCAGCCCCTCCTTACTGAACCAATTTTCACCAGAGGACTTCTGCTCCTAGATGAACTGAATTTCTACAAATGGGCTGCCTCTGTGGTCCTCTATATGGGCAAACCTCTCATTGAAGTCCTTATCTCTTTTGAAGGGACTTCAAAGGTCCATTGAAATCCAAAACTTTCCTTGAAGTTAAGTCAAGTTTTGCCTGTTTTAGGGCTGCAGGATTTCATCCAGAAAAGCCTAGGTGGTTAACAAGGAAAGAACATGTTAACCTGGTTGGATTTTATCACAAGTGGAATTTGGTCTTACAATTTTGGCTCCGTTAGGGGGTTTAAAACATATTCAGCTGTGGAAATGATAAAAGGATTCCCCTACCTGGTTTTATAGCACAATAGCTGAAAGACCAGCAGGTATTTCCAAGCATCTTTTAGCGCATATCCCAAACTGCTATACCAGCTGGATTTTCAGTGAATGAAATAACCCTGCTGCTAAAGCATTTGAATCCCAGTCAAAGTCGTTGACAGTAAAAATCCAGGTGGCTATGCAAATTGGTCATTTCCTTAAATAGTAATGTGAGTTTCACTAGGTGAGTCCTGCTAATAATGACAACCAACACCTGAGTAACATGTTTCAAATCACAGAACAACTTTTATGTATATTATCTCAATTAGTCGACACTAAAACCCTAAGAGATGAAGCATGAAAGTTCAGAGAGAGTAGGTGACTTTCCCCAGGTTACATAGGTAGCAAATAGTGAGCCAGAATTTGAACCCAGACATGGGACACAGTGGGCTTTCCATTTGACTATGAGTGACTGCTGGGGTGGGTGATTATTGATTCATAGATCTTGAGTCAAAGAATAAGAGCTGCTTTGCCTTCTATCAAAGGTCCTATTTCTATGGGTCCCCTTTTGAAAGCAGGGTAGTGTGATCAACAGAGGACTTACCAAAGGCAAAGGGAAAATAGAATTGACAGTACAGAAAGATAGTTACTAATACAAGCTGTGTCAATATGACCAATTACAGAAATGGGAAGTGTAATTGTCCTGAGTATTTTCTCACTTCTAAATGAAAATATTTATGTGTATGTGTATATACGCTAAGTAAATATTCCATGTGCTAAGTGAATAGTTTGCTGTGTTTGTTTGATTTAGTATTATCTTTTGATGTGATATAAAATGTATTGATTTCATATCAGTATTTAGGTACTGTTAATTTTGTATCATGCTATTTAAGCTCGGGGCTATCAGAAGAGAACATGATTCAAGCATTTTACCTCTTCTTCTAGGTAGAGAGTCTATACATTTTAGATGTATAGCACAGAATAGTTCCATCCTGTTAGTTGGAACAATGACCTTGTTAATTTTTTTTTAACTAGATGTTAACCCTAATTTGAAGTGATGTGTACAAATTTTTAAAGCTTGAAAAATTTGAGGCTTGCTTTAATTTTGTGTGTCATTTTGACTGGGCTAAGAGATGCCCATGATAGCTGGTAAAACATTAATTTTGAATACTTTTGTAAGGATCTTTGTGGAAGAGATTAGGGATTTGAGTTGGTACATTAAGTAAGGAACATCACCATCACCAGTGTAAAGACATCATGCAGTCCATGGAGGATCTAGATAGGACAGAAGGGTGGAAGAAGCATCAATTTCCTGTCTTCTTTAAATGGGACATTTGTCCTTTCCTGCCCTCAGACATCAAAACTTCTGATTTCTGGGAATTTGGGTTCAGACAAGAACTACATCATTGGTCTCTAACTTTTAAACCTTTGGACTCAAACTAAATCACTCTACTTACTTTTCTGTTTCTCTGGCTTATAGATTCAGATCATGGAAGCTTTTCACCTCCAAAATGCATACATCAGTTTCTATATATCTCTCTCTCCCCCTCTTGCTCTCCTGCTGTTTATGTTTCTCTGGAAAACTCTGAAAATTACAGATGAATTATATGTTGATCTCTGAGTAGTTTGGGTCATTGTTCTTAACTCTGTATCCCCCCCCCCCCCATTGTAGAGTTAAACATTCACACAATTTTCTATGTAACTTTTTAGAGCTTCCCAATAGGACAGGCAATTTACACAACCCACCTAATTGGCCCTGTATGTGGCCATGTGATATAGTTTGCCCAAAGAAACATGGGAAAAAATGTGCTATGATTTTAAAAGCACTTCTTATTTTTCACTCGGCTTGTGCTCCTCCATTTACCTGGGAAAGGCTCATTTTGCAGCCCCAGATCAAGGAAACAGGTGGAGCAGACTACAACCTGCCTGCAGTTTGAATCCAAACTCAGTGAGTCCCAGCAGATGCTACTGGATTCCAGCTGAGCCCTGCACAGCCTCAGCCAACGGGAGACAGTGAATAAGAAATAAATGTTTGTGTTTGTAAGTCATTGAGATTTAGGGTTATTATCCTGTAGAACTGCAGCAAAATCTGAGGATTTAAAACCCTTTTTAAAAACCATTTTAGCCTAAAGTACATGAACTGTAGACTGGATGTAGCTTGCTGGCTACAAAGCTTGGGTTTGTGAAGTGGATCTCTGGCGATATCTTTTCCAATTCTGCCATTAGAAACTCTGGAAAAAGTGCCAAATATTGGATACATAGGATATTTAGAGCAAATAGGCTATGATTTTAAGGACATCTAGATAATCTGTGTTTTCCTTGCCAACAGAGATACATAAACTAAAGGACATCCATAACTAATTGAAAATGGAGGGAAATGAGGAATTGTCCTAATTTCCTTATCTATAGAGAGAGATCTAGTCCTTAGAAAAAGGAATTGTTTCATAACATTCACATTTGTGATAGTCAAAACTTTTCAGGATTTCTGAAAAAAACTTAGAAGATTGCTTTTATATCTGACACTTTATGCTTAGGAAAATTTCAAAGATTGGATTTTATATTTAATACTTTATTCTCCTTCACTATAGAAGAGTGACCTTAATTATTAAAAGAAATGCCTCATATCCACCAGATCTTAGGAGATGTAGTTATTTATTTGACAGACAAGCATCATCTGGAAATTAAATGACATTTTCTCCTCTGCAGAACTCAGGAGGAAATCAGCACAGGCAGACGTATGCCCAGTGAGAGAGATTGTCTGTATTTTCTAATTGCAGACAAACAATTTTACAGGTGTCTCAGTTGAGAGAGAGAAGGTCACAGTGGATCTAGAACCACTTGTCTCTCTCTGAACCAAGCTTTCTAGTCTTAAAGTAAGAGCAGCTGTGCACACTGTCTAATCTGGGCCTGAGTAGGGCTCTTCAACTGACCCTTCTCATCTTTAGCAATGTACACTACTATGGTAGAGGGCAGTACTGATAGTTCATCAAGCACCAAAGAAATTCTTACTTATCACTGGAGCCTGTTGGGCAAATTCAGCTTTATCTGTGTATGGTCCCAACTGTGGATCAATGGAACTGGTACAAGAGGCAGCTTCCCAGGACTTCTACTGTTGTGAGCTGGGCTCACAGGTCCTTAGAATCTAGTCTGTCCTGCTACCCAAATAATAGAAGAAAACAGCAATATATGTAGACTGTCTAACTGTGGTTACCAAGGAAAAACACAGGGCACTGGGAGGCCCCAACTAGACTATGATATAAAGGAAGTCATTGAGTGACATTTAAAATGACACTGAAAGGGCATAAAGTAGGGATAAAGTGTGGGATAAAGGACACTTGAAGGACAAGTAAGACAGATCTGAGAAGAGAGATGAGTCATGGGGTACGTGGGATGCAGGAAAAAGAGAGAGAGAGAGAGAGAGAGAGAGAGAGAGAGAGAGAAGAGTAAATGGGAGAATGTGTGACCCTTTGTTCTAGCATTTCTTTCAGGGAGTTACAAGGTTGGAGGAAGTGCCCCATGAGACGATTCTGCTTGCTTCCTCATCCCCAATTTAGAATAATGATCTATATGATGAACAGAAAAGAACATTTGAGGAGGTCAAACACTGTTGGACAAAGTGCAAAGTAAAATCAATAAGCATTACGGTTAAAGAGGCTGAAAATGAATATCAAACAGACCTGGCTTAAATCACAGTTCTCTACTTACTGATTTTGTGACCCAGGACACTGTACTTGTTTAATCTCTTCAACTCTATTTCTTTCTCTTTCTCTCTCTCTCTCTCTCTCTCTCTCTCTCTCTCTCTCTCTCTTTCTCTCTCTCTCTCTCTCTCTCTCTCTCTCTCTTTTTCAGGAAAAATGGTGAGCATCTATAAGAAGAAAACAGTAATATACATAGACTGTTCAATATGGCAACTTGAAGTCTACAAGCATGAAAACACAAGAGCTGAATGGTGAATAGGTTCTGACCATGGTGGGCCTTGGGTAAGAAGGAATGGGAGTTTCAATTGGTGATCATATATACTTATAAAAATATAATCCACACATAGTCAACTAGTCACTAAAAATTAAAATCTGATTTGAGAGTTATTTTTTGTAGGGCAGATACATTCATTTCCTGGGACAGCTGTTAACAAAGTACTCTAGGTTATCTGGTTTAAAACAACAAAAGCATATTGTTTCACAGTTCTAAAGTCTAGAACTCCAAAAACCAAAGAGTCAGACGGGTTATATGTCCATTGAGACTTTGGGTAGAGTCTTTGGGTAGGATCTCCCTGACAGTCAACACTTGGTCTCCTTTGACTTCCTGCTGTAGTCCTCTGTCCCTGCACCAGCTGTTACAAAGTGTCACCTCTCCTTTTGTTATTTTCTTTATAAACTAAAATTCCTGTCATATTGTATTAGGGTATACCCTAATGACCTCATCTTAATTGGGTTATACCTGCAAGCACTGTATTTCCAAATATAGTCACAGGCAGAGGTTCTGGAAATTTGAGCTCACCTTTTCCTTCAATTCACAGCAGTAGGTGGGGTGATGAGTGCAGAGAAGGTTCTGGTTGTTCTTTCTGTAGGATGTGCGTGATGCTTTCTGAGATGCAAATGATTGAGATGCCCCATTCTTTTTAGTTCATAGATTATTTTGGATTTAGTACCTGAATTATCAAATTATGGTTCTAATGACTTCTCTTTCTCTCTGTCTCTGTCTGTCTGTCTGTCTGTCTGTCTGTCTGTCTCTCTCTCTCTCTCTCTCTCTCTCCCCACAGGGTCTCACTATGCAGTTCAGGCTGACTTTGAGATCACTATGTAGCTCAGGATAGCTCAGTCTCACACTGATCATCCTGCCTCGGCCTTCTGAGTGCTGGTATTACATGCCTGTACCATCACTCCTGGCTTTTATATATGTTTTGCTAAAGTCTAAGTCTTTTTCTTTTCTCCTGTCTCCTCCCATCCGCACTCTCCCCCTCCCTTTCCCTCCTCTCCCTTCCTCTCTCTCCTTCTCTTTTCTTTCTTCAGTCCTAGAGACTGAACCCAGTGACTTGCTGAGCTAGACATATACTCTGCACCCCTAATCTCCTGCTTCAGCCTCTGGAATATCTGAGATTGTAAGTAGACATCATTGCACTTAGCTAAAAATCTTCTTATGGATAATCTCTGGCTTTGTAAAAATTTTTCCTGCCTCTTGTGACAAGGATTTTTTTTCTTTACCTATGTGAGAGAAATCTACAGGGTACAAAAAAATTAATCATTTTTAAAAATGCTAGAAGCAGTATGTACAAAGTAATTTATTAACCTGGCTGTAAACTTTCTAAACTGGCTCCTTTTAATGGGTATTTCAGGAAAGTTCACAGTCTTTTGGCTGATTTAAAACTAAGCCTAAATTATAGCATCAAACGTTCCTGCTATGATGGGGTCTTCCCCTCACCACCTCCTTTACTCATCTGTGTGTTTGGGCTTCAGAGGTAGAGTATATAGCAATGTGATTCGACATAGCCTCATAAAGGAATTAAAATTGATTTAAGTTTTTAAAAATTAAAGAACTTTCCTTTGCTGACCTAGCTAATACTTAGAATAGTTTAATCAAATACTCAAAATTTATTTGCAGACCTAGAGTGAAAAAGATAGTCCAAGGATTGTGCACTTATACTCTTGGTTGTATTGTATGTATCACGGTATAATATACCCATCAATATGCTCAAACTCTATTGTCTGAAAACTGGGACCTCCTTGTCTCCTGGTCTGCCTCAGCCATAATGAAGGGTGAATGGGAACCAAGTGGTGCTTTTAATCCATGGCCACGCCCCTAGAGGGAAATTTGGGCATCCCATCCAGCAAAGAAGGCAACTTGATCTTAGTCCTTACCACTTTAATAAAATAAAATCTCTCCTTCGAATCCTACTCTTAGGCAAAGTCTGATCTGACCTCAAGAAAAAGGCCAAGTTCCTCTTCTGCAGATTAGAGAAATTTATATTTAAGCTGGTGATTTTCATATGTTATTTATTCTCCCTTAGTGCAGATATTTTACAGGGATAGACACAGTGACTTCGGTTGAAAAAATGGTCACAATCTGTGTTTCCTTAGGAAGGAAAAATTGCATGTCAGGAGTGTGCAGAGTTAGTCCCTGGATAGACATTTACCCAAGGAGTCCCTTCAAAACATAATATGAGAAGACAATACCATTCCAGCAGGTCAGCTCTTCTGTCACGGGGGAAAGATTCATTATGCTGGAAACTTCAGCCCATGGGTCCACTAGTTTACTTAGCTTGAAGGTTTTAAAATCAGAAGTTGAACTCTGGAAGGAATGGTAATGCAGTGTTTAACAATACCACTGTTAGTTGAACAGGAAAAGAGAACCGATCTACCCTCTTTCAGCTAGGACTTGAACTACCTCCACAATAGTCATTTTTTCTCAGCTGTGCAGCCTGTTCATTATTTTTTTATAGGCTAGGCTAATAAAAATAGTGCAGACTAGACATGCCATCATATTTTGTGGAACACTTCTGGGGATTAAAAATAAGAGAGATAAAACAATATAAAGAAAAAAATTGTGGGCTAAGGATGAGGGTAACTGAAGGGTAAATGTGGGATGAGGCTCTGGGTTTGAGCTTCAGCACCAGAAAGACAAAAAATAAAACAGAAATTAAAGTGAAATGTAACAAAACTGGAAGGATTTCAGTTGATATAAAAATGGAGTGTATAAGAAAGTAAAAGAATTGTGATCAGGGAGCTGGGGATTTAGCTCAGTGGCATAAGCGCCTGCTTTGCAAGCATGTGGTCATGAGTTCAATCCCTGGTACCGGTAAAAATACAAAAAAAAAAAACAAAAAAACCAAAAAAACCAGAATTGTGATCAGTTAAATGAGTAATGTTAAATATAGTTGTTAAAGTAGGAGTAAAATGACTAGTTTTAAACTGAACCCATGCCTGTGGCCTCTGCCTATAATTCCAGTACTCTAACAGGCTGAGGCAGAAGGATCACAAGTCTCAAAAACAGCAGTTGAGCAGGTGTGAGACCGTAGCTCTGTGTCGAGAATTTGGGTTAATCTCCAGTATCATCAAAATGATAACAATTTTGTTAATTACAAAATTTTTAGTCATTAAGCTGGGGACAATCAGAAGAAAAGAACAGAAGGTACATAGCTGAGCAACTTAAATACTGACAAAAATTAACATTTTAAAAGTTTTAATAAAATGTAGGCAGGTAGAATATTCCTTTTCTTTAAGAAGATATTTGGCCAATGAGCTTCATGGAACGTATGGTGCTGATCAGAGGTCAAGAGCCAATCTAGCTCCACAGGGGAACTTTCGGAGTCCTTCAAGTAAGGGACCATGACTGTCCCCACTTCTCACTTAATTATTTTCTTGAATGTGGGATTCCCTTCAGGTTCCTTGATGGGGTTTGGCTCAAAAAATTTAGGACAGAAACTCATGCACATAGGCTGTTTTCTTTCAATCTACCTGAAGTTATTTGCTTTCAAGGGAAGAATTTCTTTTATTTATTATTATTATTATTTTTTAAAGAGAAAAAAACAAAAAAAAATCGAGAAAAGGGGTAGAAATAATGCAGAATTACAGAAAAATAAACAGTAAGAAATCACTAGTTGATAAGTTATATATTGTCATCTTAGAAATAGTTGTTCAGGTTACAAAATTAAAGCATATTAAGTGATATTCAAATAGTGACACTGCCAACAGTTCTGTTCAACAAAAACTTAGTAATGTGGTTATTGGTCCTACACACTTGTTTTTTACCTTAAAGAGGGTAAGATTAAACATATCAAAACAGAACAAAATAGTTCTTAAAGAAACAATTTAAAGAAATACAGATTACAAAGCAAGCCCACTGGAGACCTTCACTATCTTATTGTCTCTAATTTTCTTCCAAATAGTTGTCTCCAACTTTACACACATTGAATACATACTGCATATTATAGAACTAATCAATCATTACTTATAAATTGAAGGTAAAGTTGTTATTATTTTATTATTGTATTAGTACTGCTACACATTATAGTTATTTTGATTACTGGTGGTAAAAGATAAATTGAAGCTGAAATGTCTTTAAATGATGCATAATAGAGCGAGTAATTAGCAGGCCAGAGCTTGGATACCAGAAACCTCTCATCCCCAGCTGATAGCCAGATCTGTGATGGTTAGCCCAGAGCTTTCTTTATAGCTGTGTCTTCCCAGCATCTAATGAGGCTTCTGTACATGTTAGAATGAAGGAGCCTGGAGGAGAATAATGGAAATCTGTAAAGTTTACGGTCTAATACCTATTTGGAGATGGAGAGGGGAGTTAAAGAATTGATAATCTAGGAAAGAGTTTAAGCTCGGTCTCAGATATGTGAGGTTGTTCCTATACAAAATCTGCCAAGGCTTTTTCTGAAGATAGAAGTGAGCTCCTTCCTGTCTTGTATCTTTAAAATTGGGATCAGTATGTGACAATGCAAACATTTGGTGGCATCAAGCATTATGGAATCTACCCTGGGCTCCTCGGCTCTTCCTTGCTGAGAAGGTCACTGCCTTGCTGTGAAGACATCAAGACACACTGGGAAAGGGTCTTGCTGGAGATGACCATCCAAAGACTACAGACCACAGATGACTTGTCTAGTGTATCACTCACAGTTTTCCTCTTCTCTTGGGTTTCTGAGTCCCTTGTCCTGTCACTTGATTCCACTCTTTATCCTTTTAATGCCTGTAGCAAATGAAGACAGATAGGAAACTCTTAATGTGGCCCTAGAACATACAGGTCAAGCAAGTGTACGCTGCTTACCACAGCACCGTGCTGAAGGAGGAGACTCACAGAGCTGGGTCATTTCCCTGCCCCAGAGTCTCTGACCTATTTTTTCTCCTTCGCCCTCTCCCTTTGTCTTCTCATTAGCTTTTATATGATTGAAATGCCTTTTCTGGGGTCAAGCCCAGAATTCACAGAATTCTGAGGTAGCAGGGTAGGTATTCGGAAGCACAGACTTGGCTAGGAATCTCAGAGGTATGGTTTGTTCATTTATTTGTTTATTTATATTTTTGGTTATCTCAGTTGCTATGAATAGGAATCATGAGTCCCTATATCTCTGTTGCAGGACTTGTCCCAGAATTTTCCTTGTGCCAAAGAGCATCAAAAGCAGCATCCAGTGTTGTAAGGCGCACATCGAAGATTAATTTGAACAGTAGCTTTCCCTGGAATGAACAATGGTGAACCACATTTATCACAGGAAATCCAAAAGTTTGACTAGTGGCCAAATAGAGAATGGACTGTGTATCTGTAAGTCATCAAAGCTGGCAAGAATTTTGTCACCATATCTAAGTGTTGAGCTATGGTTTGGCTGCATTGTCCAAAATCCACAGGCTAGAGGATGGTTGCTAGATTTAGCAAATAAAAACACAAGAAGCTCCTAAGTCTGAATTTCAGATAAGCAATAGATTTAAAAAATATAGATGTTTCCCAAATATGGCATAGTATATGCTTATACTGAATAAACACTATCTGTTTATCCAAAATTAAAATATAACAGGATATTTTTTAATGTACTGAGATCTCTGGATATATCTAGGAAAACACTAAGGTCAGAAAATAGGTGACTTTCTGATGTCAGGGTAAGAAACTTAGAAGCAGAGAATAGACTATTTGAGCAGACCATCAAGTTTTGAAAAACTCTTTCATCCATTTCAAAGAGATGGTAATATCTTTGATATAATATAAGACTCTGAAATTCTCTTTTCTTCTCTTCCTCCTCCTCCTCCTTTTTAACTACTGAGTATGATCTAATGGTTTTCTCTCTTTCTCTCCAAAAAAGTCAGATATATGGGATAAATCTGACTCATATGTAAGGGTCATAAAGCAATAGAAGAGTCTCTTACGATGTATCATTTTACATGAATAAAAAAGCTACTACCACCTGAATCTGACAATGTGAATGAGAGAGCTTTTAGTGGTAGGAAATAACTGAAGGACACCAGGTGAGAGCCTGCAAGAAACTAAAATACCCTTAGTTTTCAAACTTAAGGACCCTATCATTTCCACCTAACCTCAACATTAGCAGAAATGGGGATCCAGAGCAAAAAGTATACACTAAAGAAACTTCAGATACTTTAATTTCCTAAGTCCATATGCACAATTTCCTTCATCACCCATTTTTGTAAAGGAGTGATAACATATGGGGCTAAAGGATATTGTATATTATAAAATTATATTATTAAACTGCTGGTGTAGGGGCTGGGGATTTAGCTCAGCAGCATAAGCACCTGCCTTGCAAGCAGGCAGTCGTGAGTTCAATCCACGGTACCAATAAAAAAAAAAAAAACAAAAAAAAACTGCTGGTGTTTATATTTCACTTAAAGCAAGATAGTATCAGTTATTTTCCTCTTCCAAAAGATTTAATGATAATTAATTATATTTTATTTTGCTTTTTCATTCATTTTCTGGTCCTTAATTTAATTTTGTGACTGTGGTTCTTGAGGCTAATACACAGGCATACTGCCTGATATATTTGGATCTTATGGTTTTGACATTATGCTGCCAGTTTTCTTCATTCCTTTGGTAGCAGCTGTTGGGAAGATGGATTAGTTCTTTTGGCTTGTTGGTGGCTGAGGCACATCTCAAACATAATGAACTTCTCCTTCCATAAGGTTCTTATTTCCATGGATGACCCATGTTTCAAACAGGAAATACATGACTTTTATATTAATCCTCAGTTTCATATGTATTCACTTTAGCCACATTTCCTGAGCAGCTGAAGTATATGGTGTAGTGTTGGAAAAGATTATGGAAAACGGAAAGCTGCTTAAGACAAAGTTCTTGGCCTCAAGAAGAGAAAGATACGTACACAACCTATGATCAGGCAGAGAATTCTGAGGGAGCAGGGACTCGAAGGAAACAAGTCATTCTAAATTGGTAAGCAGTGTTTTATGGGATAAAACTTCCTAGACTAATAGACTCACAAAAACTGTCAAAGCCTATGTTTGCTGGTTTTGTATCATCTGAGTATAACCCTGAAAGTGGTCCCATGGGAAACCCAGAAGAAACCAGCAAGAGTCTAGGATTACCTCCGGGGGATCTCATTTGGGCTACTCCATTTACATATTTATAGCATCTTCAAACAAATCATTTGGAAGACATGAAGACATTTTGGCATAAAGCATATTTCCAACCAACAACTTCCTTTGAACTAGAACAAGCTGCCGAAGAGACACTCTATTTCCACTGCTCATCTCACAGTTCAAAATGTAGCTACTGATGCCATGCTCTGTAGAAGCCTGAGGGTGAACTTGGACATCTGAATGTAAGTGCAAGCACCTCCTTACATGTGACAGCTGGGGATGGGGTGAGCACAGCTCTCAATCTTCTGCTCTGTTTGATAGCATTACAACACACATTAGCGTTGTAGAAATTCACTGGAACACCAGCACTCAGCAGTTCTAAACATGCCAAGATGGACTTGTTCTTTGTCCATTCATGCTTCGGTACAATAAAAAAGAAATTCTGGAGAGTTAAAATCATAGAAAAGATTGATGACATTTTGTTGATCTGGGGACAGAGTGTGGCTCTTATATTTGTATTCAAGTTGTGCTAGCAGTTTTGCAGAAAGACAGTTGTAAGCAAGTTCTAGTGGGAAAGTTTGGCAGAAAACCACGTGAATAAAAGAGTGTCGTGGGAGAGAGGATGACATAAAAGAATGTGTTAAGATGCAGGAACAGGAGGATAAAAAGAGAATGGCAGACCTAAACATGTTTGGTTTATTCTCAAAACTTTTTACTTTAATTGAAAGGTAGAATAAGAGGAGAAGGCATTCCAGGACAGTTGACAATCTACTCAATCTTGATGCTTTCAGTAGACACTGTTATTGCAAGGGACAAGAGATGAGGGGATGATGTTGGAACAGAATAGCGCTTGAAGAAGGAAAAGCAGACTGAGTTACAGCTATGTAATAACTAAGAACTACTCAATTGCCATTCGTTTCCTGTTGGTTTACCTTTAAACTTTCTTGTTTTACACTACCATGTCCCACTCAGTTCTTCTGCCTATTTGCTATCACAACAAAACCTATCCATTTTCCAGTTGGGGTTGATTGGACCTATTATGCAAGTAAGAAAAACAGTCAAGGGAAATGTGGATTTATCTAAAATTATTTCATCAGATTTCATGGGTGTGTTTAAGGCATAAATGCAGCTTATGAGGAACACTTCTAATTTCAATAAAACAATTGAAATATTCATGTCTTAGAAAGAAAGTAAAATGTTATACTTGTCAATCAAAACTAGAATTTTGCAAAACTAAAACTGTTGATAATTTAGACATGTATTAATTACTTATATCTCCAACCGATCTGACTGCAAAATTGGAAAATCATAAGGTAACTGACTAGATAATTTTAATCGGCTGATTGAATATCAACCACTGAAGTGGTACCTGACTGTGTTAATGAGTGAGCAATAATTTGTAGGGTTTTCTTTCTGTTTTTCAAATTACAAACAGAAAAAAATACCTTGTAAGTGATCCTGCAAAAACATTTTGATCATTGTTTTGAAGGAGATGTCTGAAGGAGACTCTTGAAAGCCAGTTTTTATTTTCTCTATTGTATAAAAGATACAAACCCAAACCAGAGAGCGGTATATTTATTTCATTTCAGAGACAAATTAAATAGAGGGCTTGACAGTCGTTTAAACATCTCTGTGGTAATACATGGCTACTGTAAAATAAAAACTTTTAAATCTTTCATGCATTTAAGTCATTCTTGACCAAGAACCATGGAGTCATTTGAACAAAAGAAAGAAAATGTAAGGTTAGAAAAGACATAAACAACTATGCATTCCATTCTCATGTTTTTTTTTCATACCAAAACTCCAAAACCAGATGTGGTGGCAAACCTGTAACCTCAATACTTTGAGTGGCTGAAGCAAGAGAATTACAAATTTCAGTCCAACCTGGGCAACCTACTGACTCAGAGAACCCTTTCTCAAAATAAAAAAATATATATATATTTTTTTTCAAAAGGACTGGCAATGTAGCTCAGTGTTAAGACCCTGGATTCAATTCCCAGTACTGAAAAATAAGTACATACATAAATATACCAATCAAGCAATCCTAATGAAAAGATTTCCTTTTTAAATTGGACTCTACTGAAAACAATTGATAATTCAGACTGTATCAGGTGGTCTTGATTTCTCAAGCCTATCACCATGTATATTAATTTAGCAACTCACAACCAAAGCATTCCATAAGATATTATATTAGAAAATTAATTTTTATCTTATTTTGCTAAAATATAAAACAAATTACTGAAAGTTCTTTTTCTATATAAAAAGGGCAATCTTACATTTGAAAAGTTATGAATTAATCTGTCTGTGGCCTTTTCCAAAGCATTTAACAGACTCCTAAACAACCTTAAATTCAGTCTTGATTTTTAAAGGAGACTTATTTGGTTCATGATTTAGTTGCTTTTCATACGTTGATCTTGTGGTTTATAAAAATGTTAACTATTGTCTGAAGTTTGCCAGTGCTGTTACTATTGAAATAATGTTTAAAAAATACTTGCAGGAACTCACTCATGGAATAGTCAATACAAAAAGGAAATATTTTACTCGTTAAAACATCAAGGGAAGAGTATTATAAAAGAAGTGACTGATGGTGAGCCGGAATGAGCAATTTTAAAAGGTGACTTCTATCTTTATGATTTTAAGCTTTTGTCACTGGGAGAAGTGTAATGGCTATGTTTCCACACTGACTAAAACACTAATTTGAGTGTAAGGCTTTAGTACCTGAAGAGTTACTTTATTGGTAACTTGCTATTTTATTCTCCATGTTAAAAAAATGCCCAGAGATACAGTTGAGTAGTTCAAGTAAACTTTATAATCTGTTCCAGGGATTGAGTTTGTTCAAAGATTAACCAAATACAGTTAAAAATAAGGGGGGAAATTGACTAATTCACTTCTCTTATTCCTTTATCTGTCAATTGTCCAAAGTGTTCCTTCAAGATTATTAAAGTAAATACATATGGTATTGACTCACCGACTTCGCAGATTCTGCCAAGATTCTGTTCCTCCTTAGAATTTACTTTTCTAATGGCCATATTAAGTCCTTCTTGACCTGCTGCTGGTGGATCTATCACATCTCAAGTTGCTTAAGATATTAAAAGGACAGAACCTTACATTATACCTTGAGAAATAATTTTCTTCCCATGATTGCTTACTTCCCTTATTCTAGTTTTTCTGTATCCACTAAAAACTTAAGGAGCTTTTGACTTAATATTGACCTTATTTTCTGTGATGGTGTTAAAAACCACTTCTTTGCACCCCTCAAGGTAACCTTGGTGATACTGTTACATCTGCTCATTATCATTTTTTTATGCAGCAACTATCTCTATTGATTTGTCTCTGGCCTTTGATTCAGTGAATCACAACATATTGCTATTTGAGTGTGCCTCAATTTGGCAAAGTTTAACGATAGTGGAATCGTTCTCAGGCTGCATTAGTGAATAAACCCTAGTCATTTCGTTTAATGGTTTTGAATCTAAGGTGAAAATGTTACATTCAAAGTTACCTTAGGAGCTAATTATGGGGCTTTTTGCTTTTTCAGTTTTTATTAATGACCTGCCAACATCGTATGGTTCATGGAACGCTCTGATTGTGTACACGCTGATGATACGACCTCAGACCTAGCAAGAGCCCAGACAAGTATAAAGCCATTGTGTCTTTAAATTAGAGATTTATTGAGTGATGCTCACAACACAGACACAAATTTTGCCCAAAATAATACAGACTCTCAAAATTTTAAACTACCCAGAGCAATCCTGAGTAATTTCATATTCACCTACTTTATAAATAGAAGAACACAACTAGCTGAAATAGATGATGAAATGTAAATGTCATGTTATATACAACCCTACTCCCATGTAAAATGCAATGTAATTATAGCTGCTAAAAACTTAACATGCCTGAAGTAGGCTATTTTCCACTAACACATTTAAAAAATATATGACTTCTTTATACCCATCTCTTTGAAAGTCAATGTAAAGGTATATTTTCTTGAAATTTTTCTTTTTTTTTTTAATTTGGAAAATTATCAAGCAGCAAAATATTCTTCATAGTTCCAAACAACTTTCTTTGACAGTAGCTCACCAATTACAGTTGTATATCTGCCACATTAAAAAAAAAACATATACAAAACCTAAACGCACACTGGGTATAGTCCATACTTTTTTAATAACTTCTCAACTCACAGAAGTCTCTTTTTCACTGCTTCTCTCATATCAGGACAGGGCACCAAGTCACAATTAGTATAATAAGACTGCTTGCATTTCTCTTGGACCAGAGAAACTGAGTTTGCAAATCAAAAATGTATCCACCAATACTTACTAGAGGAACAGATTTAACGTAGGATATACACACATATAATAACTTCAAGACTTCCTTATGATGGCTTCCCACAGAGTCAGGTGTGGAAGTGTGCAAAAGGGCTGTCTATGCATTGGAGATTCAAGGGATCTGATCCAGTCGTAGGTCTGGAGTTCACTGTAGTCTTTGCAAGGATGTAATAGGAGGCCAAAGGATCTGAATCAGGAAGGGTTAAGGTCTGTGCTAGAATCTGCAAAGTCTGCACCAGAATGCAGGACAAGATGTCCAAGATGAAGGTGAGGACTAGAATTCCTTCAAAGAAACAGAAATGAGCCATCCTTTTTCATTCCCCTTTTGTACCACTTACAGCACAAACCACCCTAGAGTGGGTCTTCTGTCTTCAGTAAATTCCCTAAGCTGCACTCCAAACTATGCTGACCCAGTTTACTTGGGCATTTCTTATTTGAACTGACACAGTTAACTGTTACAGGAAGAAAATTAACAGAGTTTTGTTGTCTAAGTTTGTGCTTGCGATTCTGATGTGGCTTGGATTCAGTGGCAATCTAGACCTTAGGTTCCAGAACGTACTTAGCAGTTTCTGTACCTAAGGAGCTTGCATTCCAATAGGTTAAACAGTGGTTAAAGGATGTGTCGTGTTCAGGGTGAGCTGGTAGAGTAACGTTGGACAGTGCTTAGATGCTGGCTTCCGTCTCTATCACTAGTATAGGGATCACGATCTCACCTTCCTCATCAAGTTTCCTAGAGCTAAATTAGATAATACCCTTAGGGACCTTACAAAAGGGAAACAGATAGAAAGTTACAAATACAAGGCTGTGAATATTATTAAAGAAATAAATATCCTACAATAAGGTAAATGCAATAGAAGTGTATACAAAACATTCTGTGAGCCCAGTATGAAAATCTAACCATTATGACTTAGAGCACTTTTATTGACTGTGTTATGGTTTACATCTACGGTATCTCACAGAAGTCTCATGTATTCAGATGTGGGACTTTTGGAAAGTGATTGGCTCATGGAAGCACTACACTAATCAGTTAATTAACCCATTAATGAGTTCATAGCTGGCAGTGCTGTTAAGGGGTCGGACCTGGCCCAGAGACGTGAACCCTGGAGACCTGAAAGGGTATATAGTCTTGTCCCTGGCTCTTCCATTTCCTTTCTGCTTGCTGACTGCCACCGTATGAACAGTTTTCCTCTGCAAAGTCCTCAGCCACACCATTTCTGGGAGCCGTGCCCTGGAGCCAGCTACCATGGTATAAGCTGCAACTGTGGTATATTTTGTGCCAGTGATAGGAAAATGACTAACACCAGATGAAAGAGAACCTCATTAGATAGATGGCAATTAAAAACAATAGTCACTATTTACTGCTCAGTTACTAACAGGCACAGTGCAACACCCCTGAAAGACTTTTCTTTCATTTAATCCTCAAATTAAAGCCACTGAGATAAATTACACAATCAAATTTCCATTTGAGAAAAGAAATATAGTGCTATACCATGGACAGGAGTTCCAGATGGATTGGAGGACTCTGATGTTTAAAATAGGAAACCTTTGGGAATAGTATCCATTACGTCAATCTGGGCAAGAGACAGTAAACCTAAAGTTTGGGAATAGCCATGAAATTAGAGTAGAGACAGTAGATCTGAAATGCTTTTCAGTAATAGATTAAACAAACTTTGAGAACTGATCGGCAGAAGAAGGAGACTGAGGCTGACTCAGATATTTAGCTCTTTGGTACATGTTTGAAATTAATAAAGATTGTGAATTAAAGGAGTGTACTTAATTTCCCTCTAAGGATTTGTTAGTAGAGCCATTGTTAAGAAATAGCAAAACTTCTAAAGGTGATGTCAATGATGTCAGGGGCGATTTTAGAAGAGACTTGAACTTGACAATGCAAACTTTTATTGTCTATAAGGAAAGTAAAGGAGAAACTAAAGGTATTAGCACCTTGGATATTTTCCAATTGTCATTATAGGCTCTTAGAGGGTCAGTGGAAATGGCAAGTATGCACAACTTTCAATTACAGTAAAAGCCCACTGATTTGGATTAATTGGGGTAAAGGGCAGCCTGACTAAATAAAAGTCTGATTTATAGAAAAAATTTAAATAAACTCAGTTTGATTACTTTTAAGTATTTTAAACTGACTTTATTTTCTATTGAAAGTAGTAATACATCACTGAAAGTGATTTCTAAATAATATGAAAAAGACTCAATCTGGAGGACAATTAGATCCATTAATCCATTTACTTGGTAAATATTTAGTGCCCACTCTATGGCAGGTAACATTGAAAATAAATGATGCTTCAAAATGTCATAGTACTTTGTATTTGTGAAAACAACTGTTTCTTTTCCAACAGGTCTAAATTTTAAAATGCTTATGTGTCTAAAAATTTCATCTTGAAATAAGCTGATTGATACGCTATTCTTCATTTTACAGAGAATATAAAGTATGTCAAATTTTAAAGAGGTTTTCCTGTATTAGAAGCTCCTATTTGGCTCCATGCTTCTGTTTTAACAATATTTTCATCCAAATTTTTTGGTGCCATGGGTGCAGTTTCTGTAATGGAAATATGACACACATGGTTCCAGGTTTCATCTCTGCCTATGGTGAATATCATCGAGAATATAAAGTGCAAACAAGTTCTTGGGCATGTGATTCTGGTCCCATATCCATCCTCATTGATCTGTAGGTAATGGTATCACTTGTTTCACATACATGCCACTCATGGTGTCTGTGTTTTTACATATATTGTTCCATCTTCCTGCAAACGCCTTCACAGTTAGTCAGTGAACTTTCAGTTACCCTTCGAACCCTTTTTAAGATGTGCTTCCTCTTTTCTTTCTGTCCTGGACCAAATGACTCATTCCTGCATCTGTTTTGCTTCCATGACTCTTATTGTAATTTTTTGTTTTGCTTTTTGTTTTTGGTACTGGGGATCGAACTCATGACTGTGGGCTTGCAAGGCAGGTGCTTATGCCACTGAGCTAAATCCCTGGCCCTCTGATACTGTTTGAATCACATTCCAACCTCTTTATTTGTTTAAATATTTCTCACCCTCCCTAGACTGTCAGTTTCAAGGTCAATGTTACATCCATCTTTGTCTCTAGGTATCATGCATAGCACGAGGCACAATATAAACACTAACAAGTTTTATTGAATGGAGTTCAACAAAATCTTTTTAACTAGTATGGAAATGATGAAAACTTCTTGCTTTGTCCTTTTATCCTATGCACATGCAAATTACTCATACTGATCATAGTAAAACACTGGTCATCCTTCTGCAAGGAGGCAGTGGAACTGGATGATGGTTAACACTGTTAACTGAACTGGGTCAAAGGATAACCAAGGAGATGGTAAAATATTATTTTGGGGTATGTTTGTAAGGAAAGTTTTTGAAGAGATTAATATTAGAATCAGTAGATTCAGTTAAAAAATATTCCACACTCACCAATATAGTAGGCATAACCCAAACCAGTGAGGGCTTAGAATTAAAAAGTTGGGCAATATTTTCCCCCTCATTTTGAGCTGGACCAACATCTTCTGCCTTCAGACATCAGAACTGCAGATTGTCGGGCCTGAGGGCTTCAGGACTTACATGGGCTGCTGGATCTTTGGCCTCAAGCTGAGAGTTACTGTTGACTGCGTTGGTTCTTGGGCCTGTGGACTCAGTGAATGGATAGTGTTGGCTTCCTTGGTTCTCCAGTTTGCAGGTCATTTATCATGAAACTTCTTGGCCTCCAAAATTGTATGAGAAATTCCTTTAATACTTTCTTATACATCTATATCTCCTATTTTGTTCTGATTCCCCAGAGAAATCTTATTAATATATTGCTAAGATTTAAAAGTTAGGTAATCTTATTTTTTGCTACAAGTTTGGGGTGAAAGTGGTTTACGATGATACATGTCTATTTCTCTATCCCCTTTTACCACATCATTCTATTACTCTGTCTGTATCACCATCTATATAGGTTTTAAGTCAGCTCCGTATTACACCAGACTCTTTTCATTCCTTGGTGTCATCAAAAGCTCAGACTATTTCATATTTTGGGATTAGGCACTGTTAAATGCTATAGTTCACCCCCATAAATTCATGCTACATTTGCTCTTTTGACTATTAGCTTTCCCTACTGTCCAACCCTCCCAGCAAATCTGACTTAGGGCATCTAACACTAAGTGATCACTATGACAAGAAGAGAAGTATTTAACTAGATTGATGTTCCAAGAGTCCCCTGCAAGTTGTCAATACTCATATTTATATCATAATGCTGCAATTTTGGCAGAATTATCTGCTTTTTATGAAAATTCAATGAAGCAATTTTCAGATTTCCTAACATGAATCAAAAATCTGAAAAACACCCAGATATATATTTATATTCCTGTTAACTGCCCCCATTTTAAGTGATGTTTCACTGAGATTTGAGTTTGGAAAGAAGATTAACCAATTATGGCATAAATCAATCTTCAAAGACAGTTTTCAGTCCAGTTTTGAAAACTTAGGTCATTCTGATATAACTTCACTCATTAAAACAGGTTAGCAACATAGTTTTCTTAAGGAGTTGATCTTTGCTGAATTACAGCACAAAGAAAACATTAAAATGATTTTTCTTAATAGCTACAAGATAGTAATTTCATGATGTGAGATCCTTCCAAAGTGTGACAGAGTGCTGTGTGTGAGGCTCTAACATATATAAATATGCAGATGTATACACACCCAAATGGTATTATAAGGAAAATATACATAAAATGATTTCTAAAACTAATCAAAAGAGAAAAGTAATGACAACTCATGTAAGTGATCATTTTGGTATTATCCAGTGAATGAACATGAAGTCTATACCATGTTTCTATATATCAGATACTCTAGAGACTCATGTTTAGGATGTCACATGTAATTACAGTCAAGTGCCATATAACATTTCAGTCAATGACAGATTGCATAAGCTCTAGTGCTCTAAAAAGATCATAATGGGGCTGAACACTTCCTTATTGTCTTGTGGCATAGTCATCACAATGTCATAGTGCAATGCAGTCCCCAAGGTCTTGTGGTGATGCTGGTATAAACAAAATTTCAGGTGTACAAAAGTCTAGCATAAGCAATGAGGTGCAATGCATAACACTTAGCAACAGTAATAAATGTGCAAATGGTTTATGTATTTACTATACTTTGTATCACTGAGTGTGGTATTTCTACTTACAAAAAGGCTTACTGAAAGCATACCATTACACCAATAATAGATTCATACATTGCATTTATACCTTATTCCTTGATGGCATCATTTTCCCTTGTGTTGATTTACTCTGGTATTTTTTGTTCATCATGGCCCTAGGAGTAGTAGGATAGTACATATTTGTATACACATACATACATAGATATATACACACATGCATATATATGTATGTATACATACATATATATTAGATCTGTTTTGTTTCACTGAAAAAGACACATTACTAATAAAAAAACACAGTGGAAAGGCTTTCTCTCATCTTTGGTGCATGAAAGAAGTGGATCATTTGATGGCCATGATGAAGCATCGTAAGGTCAGCATCTGGTGAGACCAAAACCAACCGACTTTCCACTCTTTGTATTATTTCTCGCTGAAGTCAGATTAGCTCAACACAACAGGACAACGATGAGAGCCCCTCCCTGGACCTTTTTAAAGAAACTTCCAAGATGTCCATAGTAGTAGTCTGTCAACTCCTAATCAATGCACAGATTAAACTCCACACTTCAGCTATGTTGAGAACAAAGTATTTTGGCCAATTGAAAGTGCAATTCAATAAATATTATTAAATTCATGTTTTATGAAATACCCAGGGATTGAAAGTGAGGTTTATGAAACTAAAGAAACCAGAAGTCCCATGCTATTGAGTGTCCTTGTGCATCACCTTTTCCCAGTGTCTCTTAATGCCAGAACTTGAGTGACATGGCTTTAAGATTTAAGTGTACAGCAGGTATTCATTCATTCACTCCTGCAGTCAGTCAGTGAACACATTTGTTAAGTATTTAGTATGTATGGAAACTCTCTTGGTTGCTAAGGCTGACTACATACACTAGGATCAAACACTAACCTGTGCTTCTTATAGAACATAAACGTAATTCTTAGCCAGTATTAAGACATCCACATAAGAAAAGGCAAAAAGTCAACTAACTATTTTATTACAGTATCTATTTTCTTCAGGGATTCTTGCCTATGCTAAACAGCCTTTCCTAGACTGACTCTTTTTCCAACTTACATCCTGTGTTTTAACGCTGACTTCTCTATTGATTTCAGGTGCTCCAGACTTCTCAACAGGATTAATTAATAGATTCACTCTATTTGATCTTCTGTTGGATTCCTGTCTCCAACTCCTGGCCTGAGACTCTGATACAGTGAGACTTTGGTTCATGAAATTAATTCGTTCCATGATTCTTGTCGCAAACCAAATTGGATGAGAGGCAAATCAAATTCAGGGGTGAAGGTTCAATGTTGACCTTATGGAGAAATTTGATTCAGTTCTCATGCAGTTTGGTTTGTGACCAGAATCACAGAAGTAGTTAAGTTCATGAATCGAGGCACTACCTCTTCAAGAGGAGCAGAGTCTGTTTTCCCGCTTTGATTCTGAGCCACCCTTATGATTTATTTGGACCAAAAAAAAGCACATGAAATTGACATTGTTCCACGTGGAGCTTAGACCTCAAGTGCCTTTGTGTGGTTTTCATCTTTCTAAAAACCCTGTGACTTCCATGAAAATATACCTAGGATGGCCCATTAGAATACGACTGGAGTAGAGTTGACTCAGCCCAGTAGTCCAAGATTAGGTTCCAGAGATATAAGAAAACCCAGAAAATCAGCAAAACTGCTCAGCAGTTGAACTGCTCCGTTCTTGTGGATTCATGAACTAAGAAAATGCTCACTGTTTCATATTTCTGAGTTGCAAAGCATGCTTGGCTGAATACTAAAAGTAGATAACACATAACCCTCATTTGCTAAGAGTTTATGCCAACCAAAAGTCTATTGGAAGCACACTTACTCTAGCAACAATGACATAATACAAGAACTCTAGAAAATTGGAACCACTGTTTGCAATCAGTCTTCCATAATGCACTGGTCTCTAACCATTAACGATATGTTTTTCTGTAGACTTCAGCCCAAACTTAAATAGACATGGCAGCAAGAAGAGAGACCAAGGTGGTGTTTTTTCCAACACTCTTCAGCAGCTTTGAGAGACAATGAAGTATTGGAGAAAGGAAAGACGAATGGATGGCACAAGAAAAGTAGGAGCTGAAGTACAGGCGACCTAGATGACAAAACCTTCTGCATGTTCAACTGAATCATTCCAGATGTTTCCATCTTATCGTGGCATCCAAGGACAAGAAGTCATGAGGGTTGTTCTGGGCATCTTTCCTCCAGAAACTCTGTGGTAGAATAGTAGATGCAACTATAGAAATAATATCAGTTAAGAAAGTAGTTTCTTATCATAGACCTCTGCATGTGGGCTCCCATATCCAGGCTTTTAGAAAGATACGCAGGATGTGGTGATGGCGTTGGCATATGTGTATGTAGGGGGCAATGTTTCTGATCAAACATATTCACAAATTTAAAGTTAAAGATGTGATTGCTCCTTGTTTACCAAGCACACCTATTGAATTTATCCACAGAAATAAAATGTGTTTTACTCTGTGTTTTCATCTTTTCCATTGCCACTGTGCACTGATTAAAACATGTGCCAAACAATATTTTTTCTTTTGCTAGTATTTTAAAAAGAGACATGATTTATTCCAGAGAACTTTAATCCAGAACGATTTTGCTGAGGAAGAAAGCATGCTTGCTTAGTTTCTCAGAGTATTATTATCGAGTGATATGCCCTTGTACCATGTGAGTTTTAGGATAAATTACTTGGGACTGGCCTGGTTTAGCAGTGTTACTTAGGTTTAGTTTATAATGAAAAATACTCTGTCTATTCAATTCACTCCACTTAAACACAGTTCATTTATGTTGCTTTGTAGTTTTTATATCTGGACACTTACTTAAAATTTTCTAGTGTTTTATGAATGCATTCATTGCGAAGAACAATGTGTGCCTTATCATCAGAGAAATGCATTTGACTCTCTCTGTGTGAAAAGAAGGCCGGAATGATGGCGTCTCAGCATCAGCAGAGACCACAGTAATTATTTCACAGCTATGCTGATGCAAAAAGATGGCAACTTCGTTTCCAACTTTATGCCTTTCCTCCTCTCTGCTGGATAATCCTCTGAAACACCCATGACTTTCATTCAACTTCTTTAACAGTTTTCATGATGTCTAAGACATTTGAGGCATTGTTTGACAAAGCAATCCCTGGGAAAGAGTTGGCAAGAAGGTCCGCCCCCCCACCCCAGTCACCCCTCTATCTTGGCTCGTCCTCTCACCTCCAACACAGCACTGCCACCAGGTGGGGGAAGGAAGGTGAAGCCTAGGAACAAACACCACCTTATGTGACCCCATGCGATGTGACGTCTTTCTGGCGAAGAAGGCTGAAGATGAAAGATGTACAGGCATTAAAGCGAATGACATAGTCTCAGGGAAAAGCCAGCCGTTGTGTTTGGCTGAAATACAGGATGGTGGGGAGGCAGAATGGATATATGCTGATCTTCTAGAAAGTGAGGAAGCTTTGAAGATGCTTTTAACAGAGTTTCAATATCTTGTGGCACTTAAGAAAAGGTCAGAGATGGTTTAAAACCTGTTGCAATAAGATAGACAGGATAGGATGGCAACAATCATAAAGGTGGGGCTCTGTTTTATTTTTCTTGAGACATTTGAGCGTTTGCATTGACTGACAAAATCAAATGTAAAGGAGAACGGAGAGGGGAAGCATTACATGGTGATTGTATGGCATTTGCCTAACATATACATGAATGAGAATTGGCAGAAAGAAAAGAACTAAGTTTGGAAAAGTTAGTTTAGTTTTTTTATGTGCTAGATATGCAGTAAAAGATCAAAGCTGAGAGAGTTTAGTAACAGAATTGCATTCTTGAGTTCAGGAGAGAATTTGGAGTGAGAACTATAGATTTGAGAACGATACGAGGTTAGTGTTAGGCACTAAATAAGCCAGACTGCCCAGGGAGGAGATGCGTCCTGAGAAAACGAGAAACAGATGCTAGCAAGAACGGGACAGGAAAGTAAGTCAACCAAAAGAGAAGTGAAAACAAAATATTTCAAAGAGTTTCTAAGTGAAACTTCTTTGGCAAATTGTCTTTGATTTAAACTATTTACCATATTGTATTCATAGATTTATTTGAATTTTTGTATATGGCAAAAGATGAAAGGTAACAATCGAAAATCCATGTTTATTCTCCTATTTTAAAGTGACATCCTCTGTTACTATACAGGGAAATCATTGCTGGTTTTAAGCCTCAAAGTTAGATTACTTCTTTGTGTTATCTGAATCATTTTTTTTCGTCTTACGGCACACTATTAGTTTCAACTGAGTTTTGTAGTTATTATCTTTTTAAAATGTATAAATATAATATGATTATTGAACAATTCAAACAGCACAGAAAGGTGTCTCGTAATCAGCTACCCTCACTTCCAGGTTGTTTTCATTTCGTACAGACTCTCCCCGAAGTTTGTCATCTTAATTTTAGATTCACATATACGTATCTGTACACAGAAGTTCTCATAGATCTGCACAACACTTGAACAACATTGCTGCTGAGTTCCTTCAAGTGAGCAAAAATGTTACTGTCCTTCTCTGAGCCCAAATATTCTCTTGGTCTGTCGATGTCAGACCGACCCTCCTACAGATCGTCTTTGGTGCAAGCCCAACGTTTTTCTTCAGATCTGCTGATGTATTCATTACTATCTGTCCCACAGTTTTCTTTTTACTGAACACCCCTTTTGGCATATGCGAAGGTATATGGATGCACTCTTTTGCTCAGCAGATAGTCTTTCCATTCTTTCGGTCTTTCATCTACCTGGGTGGAAGAGCCACAGGCTCTGATGGTTCACTCTTTTTCTAACCTGCAACTTTCTATGAAAGAAAAGGTTTAGAGAATTTTTCACAAATAATATAAAATATAACACTTTCATTAGAAAACAGAAAAATGGATCATTGATCTGGATTTTTTTTCTGTTTTTGTTTTGTTTGTTTGCTTCTTGAGACCGGGTTTTGCTATGCAGTTCAGACTGGCCTCAAAATCGCTATGTAACCCACACTAGCCTCGAACTTATGGCAATCCTCCTGCCTCAACCTTCTGAGTGCTGGGATTACAGGCATATGCTGCCATGCCCAGTCATTGATTTAGTTTTAAGAAAGATTTTTTTTTTTTCCTGCACTCTTGGGAGGTCTTCAAGAAAACTGTTTATAGTGCTTGAGATGTTTGCTCTTACCATGCAGTGTTTTTTTTTTTTTTTCTTTCTTATCAGAAAAATGCAACTAAAAGGATGTGGTCATTTTTTCTTCTTTTATAAAATTTAATTTATTATCACTATCTTTTCTGTATCTATTCTGGCAAAGAATAAATAACAACTGCAAATCCTCTAAAGAAAATTATGTCTGTCTCTGTAATTTTTGATATTTGAGATGAATCTTATTATTCATCTTTCATGCTTGTAGTCTACCATAGGTCCCAAGTTTCTGTTTGTGATAGTAAAAAGACAAAATGCTAACTCATTTTTTCAAAACAGTTACTTGATGGTCTGTGGTTATAGACAGTGTGGGCAGCACAAGGCTCTTGTCACAACCACCTGCATGAACGACTGCAGTGTCTCACCTTCAGGATAAGCGCTGGCAGCACTCCAGGTAACCCATGCATCCTCGGTGGGTACAGCATGGGATAGAGATTACTAGTATGAAGCACTGAGAGTGCAAGGAAAGGATGTTGCCTTGTTATGCATCTTATCAGAGTCCACCACATCGTTTACCATTCAATAACTAGAATAATTTCTTCCTCCAGTTCCTTTAGGCAGACACCCTTTTGACCTTTTTGTACTGCCCGTATGCGGCACTTTTGGGTCTACTAGGTATTGAAAAGGTGAATTAAATATAGAATGTGCTGCTTCCTTACTTTAAGACTCATGTGGAAATGGCCAAATTACACTTCCAAGTTGTCCTTCAGTTTCCCATCAGTGACATAGTATGAATGTAGTTTCCCTTGGAGTCTTGTTATGGTTTGTGTTTGGATGGCCCCCAACCCTGATACAGTCATGGAATTGGCTGAATCTAGTGTTTGTGATTGGTTAGTTGTCTAGCGCTGGGATTGGCACAGTGTGAGTGCTTCACCCACTCAGGAGCAGGTACCTTGCATACAATATAAGGGATGAAAGGAGGTATACCTTCACGTTTTCATCTTCCTGCCCTTTTTGCTCTTGTTGCTTACATCCACCATGAATGACTGTCTTTTAGCCATGCCACCCTGCCTTGGAGCCATCTGAGTATGGACTGAAACCTCCAAAAACCTGTAGGCTAAATACACCTTTCTTTCCTTCATTTTGGGCATCAAGTGTTTTGTTTCAGCAATGAGAAAAAAGAAACCAAGACAAGTGATGAATAATAGTGGAATAGTTTGCATGAAGTGTTGTTAAATATACCTGATTCCATTAACAAGTCTACAGCAGAAGTTATTTCTAAATTTCCTATAGTTTTCAGAAATAAGCTTGTTGACTATTTTTTTTTTTAATTTGAAAGTGCCTCTGCACATTCAAACAACTATGGATCACAAATATTTGTGAGAAATTTTTATCTATATTGAACATGTAGACATTTATCTTTTCACTATTCACTAAATAATATAGAGGAACTATTTATACAGTGTTTACACTGCACTAGCTATTACTGGTAATCTAGATGTCATTTAAAGTAAACTAAAGGCTATGCAAAAACTATATGCAAATATTATAGCATTTTGTATAATATATTTGGAATATATGAATATTGGTATCCACAGTAATCCTTGAAACAATGCTCCCACTCACCCCACAAATATTGAGGTACTGATGTGATCTGAAACTAATAGAGACCACCACAGGCAAATTCATTCACTGATTTCTTTATAACAAAAACTTCACTTACAATGCTTCCATTTTTCAATATAGCAAAACACACAAGCTTCTACAAAATGCCCTGGAAAGTTAAGTGACACGATGAATTATTTTTGGAATGGTAATTTCAGTCACTAACATCATTACTTCTCATTTTCTTCATGCTCTTGGACACCATTGGAGGGAAGGGAGAGAGTACATTACTGTAATGTGGGTGTCATATAATATGAAATAACTGCATTCATAACTCTCCTACTTACTTGGCAGAAAAATCAATGGCAGCATTTTATCATTGCACCTGGGCACAGTTATGTAGTGTTTCATAGATTATAAACATTTGATAAAGTTATAGGAAAAGCTAGGTAGAGAGGAATATCTAGATGAAAATTGAAAACTAAAGACAAAGATACCTGGGATATCTAGGAAGATAAGGAGTAAGAATTTATTTCATGTCAGTGTCTAACAGCTTCTTCTTTTACATCATATGTTTTCACTTGTTTCAATTAGTGAAACAAGTGGGTCCACACAGCGTTATGCAAATCACATTTTTCACAGGCAAATGCTATCATTTACAGTCCCCTTTGTATTAAAAACAAATACGGCAGCCTTAAAAATTATACACACACAGATGTTTAATTCACTACTTTACTTTGTGGTTGATGTATTTTCCATGGTATCCCATGCATCTCTATCACTGCATGTACAGAACTGTTTTATGGCACTTAGCTTTGACCGTCTATCTTCCCTTGAAGACAGGACTGTGCATATTTCATCTTGGTATCCACGCGCCCTGAACAATGGCTTGTGTACTGTGGGCACTCAGGTTTGGCTGCAGAAATGCCTGAATGAATTTGAGCATTCTAAATTACAATGCAGCATCTCCAGCATTTCATGCATGCACCTTCCTGGCCTTCTTCCTTAGAGATTATCAGCTCATTCATCTCCTGTCATTGTAGATATTTTGCAGATAGGTACAGGAAGACTCATTGATAATTTGCCAAGATATTTGTACTTATGCTAACGTTCATTGTTTTTAGGTATATTCATAAGTTTAAAGAAGAAACAGTGTGTACGCATACATTTGGACTGTAATAAAGAACATCACCAGCAGTTTCTCTGATTTTGACTGAGAGATTTAGTGCAATTCTCAGGACTAACTTCATTTGCCCAGTTATTTCTCATTCACTGAAATAAGTTATTCTTGGGTTGTCATAGCACTGGGTTGTAAAGAACGTAAACTTTGAAATGTTGCTTATTAATGATATCAGAAAAAAATGAGCCTTGTCTTTCTTTATTTGTAATGCACACACATATGGGGCGGAAAACTTTCCCTAGCTGCTGGCACACCGAAGTACATTTTGCTGAGCTGACTTCCAGTGTGGTCTGGTCTCTAAGAGACTGCTGCAACAGACAAAGGCATAAGTAAGACAGGAGAGCTCTGTATTGTGCATGGCCTATCAGCAGTAATGAGTCATAAATGTGCTATGAGTGAAGTACAAAATGAACCTCGTGAAGTTGTTTTTATTGATGTTTATTAATGGGACAATCAGTGTCTTTGGCACTTATAAACACATAACAGATAAAGTTCCTACTCTGGGAAATTTACAGTCTAATTGAAAGAGTTGACAGCTGTTACACTATGTTTTAGTGTACTGGGATGTTCTCCCAAGCATCATGATGCCCATAGGATGGGGTGGGGGTACGGTCTTGACCACTGATGAGCAGGATTCATTGCTTTAAGCCAACTGATATTTCAGATGATCCCAAACACGGCTGCTGCTCTTGCCAATAGGGGGTGATTATGTGGGTACTGCTTACATAAGTTAAGGGAGAATACCAAAAAAGATCCTGAGAATTTTGGAAAATGGAAATGAGCAAATGAAAGAAAGTACAGTTTCCAGTTGCCACACTGACTACACAAAAGCACCCAATCTGGAATTAATCATTTCAGCCATTTATAAGCAGGCTTCTATCTCCCTTTTCATAAGTGTCTTGCCCTGCCGTAAATGACATTCTGTTCTATGAAAGTATAATGTGAAAATCTACTGATAAGCCAAATAATAAAAACTTTATAGCATGTCAGGGCTTTTATTATTATTATTATTTAACCTCAATCAAGTTATAATACTGAACACATGTATCCTTGGCCTAAATCACCTTGTCAAGTTTAACTGTATATTCGACTTCATTTACATGACATATGATCTAATACTGGAGAACAACAATACCATTGTAGTGTTAATTGAAAACTCCAAACTGAGGGCCAGGAGAAACCACTGGGCTGATTGCTGAGGGTCCCAGGGAAGGGGATCTATTTCCACACCTGCAGTTGGTCCATAACACTAACATTGTTACTAACATCTGGGTCTAATCAGTCCAGAGGCCTTGATATGCTGCTCCTGGGGCACATAAATTTAGCATTACATTCACTTTAAAAGCCCCCTCTTTCAGGTTTTTAAGGACAAGATAGATTCATGGCTCCATAGAGTCTAACAAAGTAGAAACCACAAACAGAGTAAGTTACTGCCACAGGCCCTGTGGACTTGACTTACCAACTTTTTGCCACTTCTATAATGGAATTTTATGTTCGGCGCTGGCTATCAAAAATGTGTTTCCACCAAAAATGAAGTTTGACTGAAAGGTTGTATTAAGAATAAAAGCAAATCCTCAGAAGGGGAGCCAATCTGTATAAATCAGGCTTCATATAAGGATATGAGATAATATTGAACAGAAAAGTCTGAGCTTAAGAATAGTAATTTGCCTCATTTGCTTTGTAACTGAAAGGCCTTTTAGAGTTGACCCTTCTTAGTGCGTTTAAGGAGATTTGCACCAAAAGGGACTCATTTGAAGAAAAGTTAAAGACTTTTAGGTCTTCCAACGGGACGATGCGTGGAAGGCTACTAAGAACGGAAAGTCTGCTTGCCCTGATATTTTCTGAAACTGCTTTGCAAAGCACAGTTTTCACAGAAAGTTTTGCTGCCACTCAACATAACAATACCAAAAACTCTCTTGTGTTTTATATAGTTTTCTTAGGGAACCAAAAAGTCCCAAAAGAAGAAACATAGCCCATATGACTTGCACAGCAATATTTACTACTAAAGTTATACATATAGAAGAAAATAAAATAAAAAGCAAAACTATTGGCAGTGTTTACAACTACTTCACTTGTGTGCCTGAGACCAATTTGTTGCACGGTATTGTTTTAATGTTTTCATTTGGGGTTTTAAATCTTTTTTCCCATCTTTCCTTCAACTTTGCTAAAAGAATCACTTGCTGTAGCTAGAAAGTTACAAAGCAATTGTATGTCAAAATTTGTACTTGCTGGCTGCACCGTTTTATTTATTTATTGGCTCAAATGTGAGTGTTTGGATAAGTTGCTCATTTAATGAGCATCCCTAAATGATCTAACTGTGGAAATAAGGATACAAGTGAGATTAATGATCAACAAATAGAAGTGGGAAGAGGGAAGGCATTGTTCTTTGGATTGAAAGTCAATAATAGGATAGGCAT